TATTTAGGAGTTCTGTCTGTCTGCTCAGATAACTACCAGGGGACGGGACGGGACGCGTTGTGCTCAGGATGACAACAGACAGTGTGAAAGTGCCAAAGACGCAATTAAAAAAAAACTCTGCAGCATTTATAAATCAGGACCCAGAGGATGTTTGTGTGCCTGTGATGTTAGATTTGGTGACTGGTGAACATCTAGATGACGTGATGAGAACACACACACACACACACACACACACACACACACACACACACACACACACACACACACACACACATGGATATGTTTTAGTGATATATGAGCCACCTGCAGGTTGTTGCATTTTCACGCAGTTACGTGATAATGAATAAAATCCTTTTGGGTTTTTTGGAAGACTTTGAAAAAAATATACAGTATATCTATAAGGCTTTAGGAAATGAGATGATCTGTTTTGTTTTTCAGTGAAGTAAATATGTGGTTACAGGGCTAGGACAGCTTTCAGACCTTTTCAAGTCCTTTATCTTAACATAAAACAGAATACACCATGTTCGCTCTACAGCATCACTCAACAGGGAGTTCCTGCCAAAAATTTGCTTGATGATGTTTCTCTGTAACTGTACCTCTTTTTTAGAATTATTTGTAATTACAAAAAGACGTCTTGAAGTCAATCTTGACCCACAATCGTCCTTGAGAAAGTGAACAGCTGGCTGATAATCTGCCTCTGCTCCAGCCAGAAAAAGTGACGCCCCTCAGGCTCAGCTTTGACCTTCCATCCTTCTCTCTTATAGCCGGATGTGGAAACATCGTAACACACTAATTACACCTGAGCAGCACCCCTACCCCTCCCATCGGGCATCTTTACTAAATGAACAGCAGAGGAAATGCTCCCTTCTGTCTCTTGGTGTTACAAACTGTTGCTGGTTCAGAAGGTGAGCAGGAAGTAGAAAAAGAAGAGACTGGATCCAAAGAATGTAAGATCAGTAATTAAGTATTACGATGTTTTACAGGGAAACGCATGAATAGCAAACTCTTACTACATCCAGGAAAAAGCAGGTCAATTCAGAGAATAAAAGCATGAATACATGCTTACGGTATGAAGTTCACCCTTAAATGAAACAGACAAAAATAAAAAATAAAAAAATGAGTGAAAGATATGATGGAAAGTTTTTTATACACTAGTTTCAATGCCTCAAAACTGTCCCACTCCCCTGATGTTTTAAAAATGAATTTTTCATTTGTAAAGGAGTTTCACAATGTTAAACTTATTAGCAGCATGATCACCACTCAGATTTAGCCATTAGCATTCCACATCTGTTTACCTACAGATGTTAATCACAAAGTGTGCACGTGTTTGTGGAAGTACCCTGACTGAAGCAGTTACATAACAGACAGACTGATTGATTGATTAGGGGTTGGACTCTATAAAAAATTAATCTAATTAATCAGATACTTAGTGATTAATTAATCTTGATTAATCACATTTTAATTGTTCAAGGCAGTTTGCCCCAAAGCAATTTTTTCTTTATTAAAAATATTGTTAGTGAGGTACAGATGACATCCCCACACTTTAATGAGTATATTTCTGTAGCAACATGGTATGTTTGAGTGACATGGTCTCATTATAAAGGTAACCATTGTGGGATTTGTTGGGAAGTGTAAATAGAGGAATTTGTGTTATTGATGAAGTGTAAATGGAAATGGAACATTTTAAATGTTGTGCACTGAACTGAACACTAGATGGCAGCAGAACACTGCTAATATATGTAGAGAGGTGTAGTGTAGCGTTCAGGGGAAGTTCTGCTGAGGATTAAGATGAATGCTGCATGTATACTTGTCCCTCCTGCTGTAATAAAGTTCAAATGGTTAAAGTTCTGCCTGCTTGCTTTCTACATATACATACATCATACAGATATATCTATCTATCTATCTATCTATCTATCTATCTATCTATCTATCTATCTATCTATCTATCTATCTATCTATCTATCTATCTATCTATCCATCCATCCATCCATCCATCCATCCATCCATCCATCCATCCATCCATCCATCCATCCATCCATCCATCCATCCATCCATCTATCTATCTATCTATCTATCTATCTATCTATCTATCTATCTATCTATCTATCTATCTATCCATCCATCCATCCATCCATCCATCCATCCATCCATCCATCCATCCATCCATCCATCCATCCATCTATCTATCTATCTATCTATCTATCTATCTATCTATCTATCTATCTATCTATCTATCTATATATATATATGTGTGTGTGTGTATGTATAGAGAGAGAGAGAGAGAGAGAGATAGATAGATAGATAGATAGATAGATAGATAGATAGATAGATAGATAGATGATAGATAGATAGATAGATAGATAGATAGATAGATAGATAGATAGATAGATAGATAGATAGATAGATAGATAGATAGATAGATAGATAGATAGATAGATAGATAGATAGATAGATAGATAGATAGATAGATAGATAGATAGATAGATAGATAGATAGATAGATAGATAGATGATAGATAGATAGATAGATAGATAGATAGATAGATAGATAGATAGATAGATAGATAGATAGATGAACAGCATAACGTGAGAATAAAAATAGTAAAATAATGTGTTTTACCTCTGTTGGATGGCTAGAGGTGTGCATTCACAAATGAGAGACGTTGCTTCAGCTGCAATCTTTGATAGGGAGATTGGCTTAAAGGGGAAATCATTGTTTCTGCCTCTAGATGGAGCTTCTGAGAAAAGACTCTAGATTTCTGCTTTAACATGATATCTCATTGAATTGGGAAACCTTGTCCTGAGATCACATTTTAAAGAGACTGCAAGTGCCAATTTACATTAAGAGGTGGCAAAGTGGAGCAGTTAAGTGGTTATTAAAACTTCTGAGAGAATAAATTATGAGTTAAAACTTACTTTTGTCACATTTAAAATAAATTTAGGTGTCTTTAAAAATAAATGAGGCAATTTAAAACAAGGACTTTCTCAGTTGAATGTTAAGCTCGATAACTCACTTGAAGAAGACATACTTTGTTGCTGTAAAAGTAGAGAAGAGTTGTTATGTTAATGATATAAAACATGTTGTTATTGGCCAATAAATAGTTCTGTTTTCAAAACAAAAGTTTGTCATTATCATTGTTTCAAATTTTAAGGGAGAAATATCCTTACAGTCTCTGACTAAACACCACAACACACATGTGTTTGGGATTCAGAAGTGAGTCATCATGAAACACAGATTCAGAGCAGGAATACCTTTAACCAACAATAGGTGTCACTCAGATGTTTTGAGACAACTGAACAGAATTTCTCTTGAAATGATTTCTCCTGATATGAATTTAGGTGAAAACCTGAAAACTTCCAGTTAAACAAATGTATTGATTTTGCTAATTAGGAACTGACTGGTTCTTGTTGGCTGCCGTGAAAAAGCTCTGAACAACGATGAAAATGCTCAAGCAAGGTATCAGTTTAACCTCTGACCTTTAGAGTGTAAAAGATCTTGCAGGTGAAAATCAGTGCATGAAGTTAAACCAGCTTTTGTGAAGTCACCTTGACCCCGTCAGATCATTCCTGACTCAGAGGAAAAGTCTGCATCAAATTAGAAGAAATCCTGTCTTTGGCAATTCACTGTGCTCACAAGTGCGGGATAAACGGATGTAGAGGAAATTGATGAAACTCTGACATTAAGAGTGTTTTACTTTCCTTCTGCAGAAACTATGAACACATTTAGCTGCTACGCCTCCTTTGAAGGAGGTGAAATGATTTCTGTCAGAGAGCAAATAGTAGAAATAGTTTGGCTTTAAGCCAAGGCTGCATGCTGATTACACGCTGTGCTCTGCACCATTAAGTTATGAAAGCCAGGAAGACCTTTGTTCTATCAGAATGACACTCATGAACTGGGGATGATGGAAAAATAACAGCAACAACCTGCTTGCTACTTCTGGCAAAAATGCAGCCTGTTCACACAAACATTCCCATTGATAGTTCTCATTCTGCATTTTGAGCACAAAACGATAATAGCTAATAAAAAATAATTCTCAACAAGCCAGTTTGTGGGAAGAAGTCCTGCATTCTGGATTTGCCTTCTTAGCGCCAGAGAGGGAGGTCTCACTTAATGCTGCGAAATTTGGCAAAGCTCACCCTGGGCACTTTTAAGTCTCTGAGATGGACTGCAGCAAGAACCACTTAGTGGTCCAGCTGCAACTTCAGAGGAGGAGAGGGTAAGACTTCCTATTGCCCACTTTGGGCTCTCAGATGGATCAAAAAGTCTGGATTTATACAGGTATAAAGCAGAAACATGAAAAAATAATTTAAAAACATGGAAATGTGTTCACGAGAAGATACAATTGAAATTGTTTTAAAGGCTGATTATAATAATCCCATCATATCAAACCCATCCAAACATCAAATTGGCTTAAATAGATCTAGAGTTATCTAAAGCATTTTTATTTCCCAGAATTGCTCTTTTACGCCTTTTCACTCTGACAGAAACGAATAAAACATGATTTAATGGCCTCTCCTCAATAATAAAGCGGGTTTTCTCTCTTCGGTTAAAACAAACAAGCAGCGTGTTTTATGTATTTCTGCTGCTGTTCGGGGAGCAGCTCCATGGCGCGCCTCGTGCCAAGTCTTGTCCAGCCCCTGCTGCAGAATGGATGTAAATCAAATTCCCTCAAGAATGCCTCAAGAGAAAGTGACAACTCTAATGGTGTCGAGCTTTTGTAGTTCACTTTTCTCCTGAGTGGAGGCGAAAACGTCTGCGCTTGTGCGCGGAAATGTGAGTGATGAGTGCATGGTCCTTGCCTCTCAAAGGGATGAAAGCAAGCTGCAACAAGCTCGGAGTAAAACACAGGACCATGCTGGGGTAGCACCAGCTACAAATGGAAAATAAAAGTGTGCGTTAAGTCATTTTCTACCACAGAAACAAAACATTAGGGGGGAAGCGGAGAACTTTTGCGCATTGAAGAGTTAAACCTCAGATAAAAGACAGAGGCGACTACTTACTCATGAAAACGATGATGGAGACATAAGTGCGTGTTTTTATTAAATCCATGGTTCTCTTTCCCTCTCTTGCTCGCTCTCTGCGGCTCCACGGCGACGGCGGAGTTGTGGCTCATTTACGCCTTCGTGGAAACGCGTAGCGCGCACAACCAGACGCACACACGCGCTGCTCCGGACAGTGTAGTTATGTCTCCAAGTTGCGCACTGTTACTCATACTAGTGATGCTGATGCTGCTGCAGCTCCCAGTGACGACAGCAACCCCCCATCACCCCCTCCTCCTGCCTCGGCGTGAGTTAGTCACGCTCATAACGGGCTCCCTTGGTCCTGGAGACAGGATGTGCGTCCTGCAGCGGGTCTCAGAACGATGTGCTCCAGTTGCTGACATCAGGACGCAGCTTCAGCCAATCCAAGAAATTTATTTACAGGCCTATTATTTATAACAATAGCTGAGGGATATAATTAGCGATATATGGCATAATAAAAACATTTGACAACTGAATCTTTAGTAATAAAAAAAAGCGTCGTTTTCATTACTGTTATGGCTCCAAACGAGCTTAAAAATAGAAAACCTTTGAAGTTTATGCATTACTGCAACTTTTTTACCACAGCTTGACTATTAAGGTTCGTGACAGTTGAAGATTCATACTGCAAAGCTTCAGAAATGTATTCAAACTCTTAGAAAAAAGCACCCATGATTGTTTCTAAGCTGGAAAATTACATCAGCATTTCTCACAAGGAGGAAAATGAGCCACAAAAAGACATAAAAATGGATCAGAACATGTTTATTTATTTTGGTTTTTAATTTAGTCAATTGTAACTATGGCTGAGGTGAAGAGCACAGATTTTCTGGACTTACGAATAAAACTTTGAAAAGGAATTTTGAAATAGTGTTTTGGTTGTTTTTTTATATATCTCCAAGTCTAATAGTGATGCCTCAATGATGTTGATGAATGTTTTACATGAATGGGTTGAAAAAGTGTAGATCACATTATCAACAAGGGATGAAAACTGAAAAGAAGGCGACCTTGACTGCAGGATAAGAATCACAATCACTCTAATCCACGAAGGACACATCAGAGCGAAGTGAAGTTTTGCAAGTTAGTGAGAGAATTACCAAACACCAAACCTGCATCCTGACCTGGTTAAGAGAGTAGAAGTTTTTAAAGTTGATTTATTTTCGTCACTCATCAGAACAGATTTTCGTCTCTGTGTTTCATTCAGCCGTTCTACGCCCCCCTTCTGTCTGGTCTCGTTTGTTTATCTTGGATTTTCTGATTTAGGTTACTTCTAACTATCATCTGTCTCCTCTATCCTTGTTATGGACAATAAGGTCCCAAATGAATTGTTTCCTTTTCAGAAGCTAACAGTCAGGATTTATTTCAGGGAAACAGACGATCAAACGTAACTGTGAAAGAAAAAAATGTCAAGTTTAATTTCTAGCCATGAAACACCCCAGGGGATGGCAGTCCTCGGATGCAATTATCCAGCATGTTTTAGTTGTTTCCCTGCTTCAACACACCTGATTCAGTGGTTGAATTAAATGACCCTCTGTATAAAATCTGATGTGTTGGTGCAGGGAAAGGACACAGCAACATTTACAGACTGAGCAGGCTTTGAACTTGCAACCGTCCAATTACAAGGGAAGCACTTCCCCGTCACCCCATCTGCACCAAACCATCATAACCTATCCATAAAAGCTTCCTTGAGACTAGTTCTCACCTTTACTGCCACTGCTGAAGAGAAGAGCACGTCAGAAGTTCTTCTCATAGATGTTGTTTAGGTGAAATAACAGTCAACATCACATGCTCTGAGAGGTACAACAAACCTCAGTGTCTCACCAGGGCTGTAAATGTTGGTGTAAATCTCACAAACGATCTCGAGTTTGGCCTTATTGGCTGGTTTCACGTAGCATCAGAACTGGGTACGTATGTAGAACTGACTGAGATAGAAAGAAAAGTCTCTGAGGCAGTGGACGTAAAGGGAAAACAATTTTTTTAAAGTAGAGAAATCTAATATTTATACACATAATCACTATAAATGTGTCAGTTTTGCTTAACTATGTGTGTCTATATGCAATCTGAATTATGAACACATTATTTTCACCAGCTGTCTCTCATTAAACAGTAAATTTCCCCCAATTTCAATGCACATTAGAGATGTACATCACCGTTCACACACACACACACACACACACACACACACACACACACACACACACACACACACACACACACACACACACACACACACCACCACCACCACCACCAACAACAACAACAACAACAACAACAACAGTCCTGTCTCAATTAGCGTTTACACACTAGCATCGGCTCCACTCCGCCTGGACTGAGTTTGGGGTGTTCTCATTTAAGTAGCCTTGGATTTTTCCACGCACAACCGGACGTCTTTTCAGCCCTCTTTCCAAGGCGGTCTGCTTTGAGACGAACTGGTCCAACACACCCATTGCTGACTGATTGGCCGGCCCAAATTCATGCCTACCAGTAGGGGGAGCAACCGATTGGCAGATAGAATCAGCCCGCAGGGACTTACCACGGGGACTTCTTGCAGGTGCAATTCATTATCATTCTGGATACTGAGGAGTTAACGAGCTTATGACTGAAGCTATTTTCCTCTGTTTCTCACACAGACCAATATTTATTATGCACATCAGAACACCCAAGTATACATATAATATCAGTGGTCAGAACGTTAAACTACAGAGCAAATATAAAAGAAAATGGTACCAAAAGCTAGAGGACAAACATATTTAAATGTTTTAAAAACCTGCAGATACCCAACATGGGCAATAAATAAAGGGAAACAACAGAAAGAAAAGAACAACCCAAACAAATAAAGAGAACTCTAGAAAAACAAGAACTAAAACCAGTGATAACTCTTCCCTACATCAAAGGCATTACAGTAAAAATAATAACAATGAAAAAACACAAACAAAACCATAAACAGTTAGAATGAGATTAGAACACACAAAAGACAAGATATCAGCAGGATAAAAATGTGGAGTCATTTACAAAATACCATTTAAACTTTGCAATAAAACATACATAGGAGAAACAGGACGCCAACTCAATACACAAACAATAGAACACCAAAGAGTGCGCGAGAAAGAAACAAACCAAAGACACAACAAGAGCAGCGAAACAAGAAGCAGAAAGTACAATAAAGAAATCAGCTGTGACTGACCGCTGTACAAGGAAAAACCATATAATGGACTGGGACTAAACAAAGATCACAAACACAGAACAACAAAAATATTAAAGATGGATTAAAGAAGCCATAGAAATAAGTAGACGTGGACACGGAACCATGAACAGAGACGATAGAGTCTACATGTTAGATCATGCACGGGACCGTGTCATTGAAAAGGAGAGCGCAGGCAGCCCGCAGATAAACGGTGAAGGAAGTAACGCCAGCAACGTCGCCACAGCTCTGAAGATGGTTGTAGTAATTAGCCAAAATGTTAGCACAACAAGGTAAATAACTTATTTTGTGTGTTTTTAAAGAACTAAGTAAGGCAAGTTGACAAAATACACAGAATGGACATACAGCAGATGGATGGACTCTTTTCCACATTTGTCATGTTGGGAGGCAGTTTCTTGACCCACGACATGAAGAATCACACACGGGAAACTTGTAAGTGTAAAAAAGGATTTATTTTAAATGAGGATCTAAAAGAGTAGTAACGGGAACTGAAGATGCTGTGTACTGGTAGCAGGATTCCAGGGTGGGGTTCTGAGGAGGGAGACAGAGTGAGTTTCCAGAGGGATTTATGGAGATACTGGCTTAGATGGGAGCTTACTGTTTTCCAGTAGCGGTAGGAGGCACAGAGGGAGCTTGGTCGGGTACGGGAGGGCTGAAGAGGGCTGAAGGGGTCCAGAGAGCGACAAAAAGTTTGTCCAGAGGTGAGGTTGGTGCAGATGCTGGTGAAGGCAGATGAGTGGCTGAGAGCGGGCGGCCAGGGGAACGGCAGTGTGAGCTGGAGTGCAGGAGTCCAGGCTGGTTATGGAGACGAGGGAACATGGAGTGGGAAACCTGGAGGAGAACAGGGAAGAATTGTCTTGAACTTTCAGGGGACAGGTTTTCTAACTAGACACAAACGTCTAGGCAGGTTAAATGGCTAGAGCTACCCAAAACAGAGTAATCATCCAGCATGGTGTTCTTCTTCTTCTTCTGTTGGTGAATGGCGGGTGGCAACCAACTTTCAGGAGCATTTCCGCCACCCACTGAATGGGAGTGTGAGTCGAAGTGGGGAGTATCCTTTAAAAAAAAAAACTAAATTCTATCAAGTAATCCACTGTCCCTTAAAAAGTCTATGACAAACTTATATACCACTAGTCCCCCATTTAACAGAATACCCAGCTCAAATTCCTTATATCCTTTAACTTTTAATTTTTCAACCAACAATATCCTACTACCCACATATTTCCTACAAGCCAGCATGGTGTTGTGCCCCTGGGCCTTGATGACAGGATCAGCTACAGCTGGTTGCTCTCAGACACGCCCACCTGCTGACAAGACTCGGGCCCTGTCCACACGTAGCTGGGGATTTGCCAAAACGTACATATTTGTCTACGTTTTGGCCTGTCATCCACACAAAAACGGAGTTTTTTCACATAAAAACGGATCATTTTAAAAACTCCGGCCAAAGTGAAGATCTGCGTTTTCTCCGTTTTGGGTGCCTGCGTGTGGACAGACAAAACCGGAGTTTTAAGGTCTGCAACGTCACTTTCCGCGACAAAAAAAATGCTGACATCACGTGTGCGACCTGTGTTTACACTAGCCGACAGCATGGATGCCCTCAGAGCTGCGCTCGCTTTATCAATTGTCCAAGCGCTTTTTGCTTGTTTGTTTTTGCAAGCGGAATTACTGCTCCTTGTGGAAGACCACAGACGAAGGACGAGGTTAAGAACGGGGAAGTACTGCCGCCTACAGGTCTGGCATGTCCTTAACAACGTATTTATCCGGGTACGTGTGGACAGAGTTTTTGTTTTAAATGAGGTGGTGTGGATGCAAGTTTTTGGAGGGGCGGATATTCGTTTTTAAAAAAACCCGGCTACGTGTGGACTAGGCCTCAGAGGGCAAAAATGATTCCTGGCAGGTAGCTCGCCACGGACCATGACAACGTTTTGAGTGAAGCTTTGCTAAATATTTCCCTCTGAAATCCCACAGGAGATGTGGGATTTGGGCTTAATGTGGCAGGTGGGTGGAGGGGCCGAGGTTTTCCAATTAGTGGTTCTGAGTTGCAATGAACAGATCTGACC